GTTGTGCATAGGGTTGCTATAAATTGGTATGGACTCAATGGCATTTAACAACAACAACAAGTCTGTTCTTAGTCTGGAAGCTTTGCTGAAACCATGGGTGACCCTGCTGGTATTTGAAACAGCAGTGGCATAGCTTCAAGCATCACAGCAACTCACAAGACACCACAGCACAACAAACTGAAAGATGTGTAAAGATATCAGTTATCTATTGCTACAATAATTCTATGTGACAGTCACTTGAATATTTAGTGACTCAAAGCACCAACCATTTATTATTTTTAACAAATCTTCATGTTGACTAGGTGGTTCTGTTGTCCTCAGGTTAGACATCTGAATGGAACAATTTAACTCTGTTCTATATGGTCTTAAGGAGTTTTGGTAGTGTAGTGGTTATAAATCGGGCTGCTAACCTCAGGGTCAGCAGTTGGAAACTACCAGCTGTTCTGCAGGAGAAAGAGGAGGCATTCTGCTCCTGTAAAGATTTACAGCCTCGGAAACCCTATGCAGGGTCACTATGAGTCAGAACGGACTCCACAGCACATAACAACAACAACAACATATGGTCTTATTTCTTCCATCTTAGACCAATGGGAGGAAGAAATTGTACATTGCAAAGGGCATAGTAAAGAGAAAAGTGGAGGTTGAAGCCATTTTTGTTAGCAAATACCATATCATACAAAATATCCATCTTTTGTTTGTTTTCTTCTAACTTTTTATTTTGAAAAATTTCAACATATAGCAAAGGTGAAAGAAGATTCATACATGAACTTGCCAACTAGAGTTTACGTTAATATTTTAACATTTTTGCTTGCTGTATCATATATCTGGCCATCTCTTCATTATTCTATCCACCATTTACCTTATTTGGGGGGACACATCTCAAAGTAATTTGCAGACATAAATGACCACCAAACCATCCCTCCCACAGCATTCTCTATTTAACTGGGTCTGATAATTGATTGTGATGATCACACAGAACTCAGATAACCATACTCACAATTTTGGGATTTGTTAGGGAAGTCAACAGGTTACAATGCAGGGCACCGTTTTTATAGTCAGGAAAGCCTTTCCTCACCTTAGCCTATAGGTAGGCCTCTCTCTGCCTGGTCAATGTTACAAAGCTCTTTTAGGGTTGCTGATAAATGCCCACAGGACACACCACTCCACAATAAGCCTTGGTTTGAAGGCATTAGGCTTTAGCTCTGTGGGTCAGCAAACCTTGTTGCTGTTGTTAAGTACCATGGAGTCGGTTCCGACTCATAGCGACCCTGCACAGGGTTTCCAAGGCTGTAAATCTTTACGGGAGCAGAATGCCTCATCTTTCTCCCGTGGAACCACTGGTAGTGTCGAACTGCTGACCTTGAGGTTGGCAGCCTGACTCATAACCACTACACTACTAACCTAGCTCCCCAATTAAATACCTGGAGGTGCCCTACTCAGCAAGCAGGTCTCTAACATGTCACTCAGCTTTGCTTGATCCATGGACTGGAAATCCCAGTGCTCTGGCTCTTGTACCTACTGCTGCTGTTCCTCTGCCACTCCTCCAGTGTTACAGCTTTCTGCTCCTGGGTTGAGGACTTTCAGTGCAGAGATCTTGGGGTCCAAAGAACGCACTCCACTCCTGGTTCTTCTTAGTAGTGAGATCCCCCTCTGCTTCTAAGAGGCTCATTTTATACCCAGCAAAATGGCAAAATTGACCAATAACAGTTCTGTTAACAATCTTCGCCCACCTGCTCTTACTGAGACCCATCAGGAAAATGTCATTTGGCAGGAGTATACAAAGTAAAGCTAGAAGAGACTGTAATTAATTAACTGCACCACACATATACCCCTATATAATTTTGCATGGTATCTTTGTGCTAACCATAAGGTCAGTAGTTCAAATCCACCAGCTGCTCCTCAGAAACCTATACAGGGTGGTTATGAGTTGGAACTGACTCTAAGGCTCTTGACAACAATAACAACAATCTTCGTTACCTAATGGTACTGTAACAAAAATACCAGAAGTGAATTGGTTTTAAAGAACAGAAATGAATTGACTCACAGTTTTGGAACCTACATGTCCAAATCAGGACATGGAATCTAGAGGACGATCTTTCCTTGTCAGTAGCCCCAGGTCTTCCTAGGCATTCCTGGACTCATAGATAGTCCCTTACTTTGTCTCTTTCCCATCTATGCCTGTACTCCCCTTTATAAGACACTACTAAGAAGGGATTATGTTTATAACCCACCCTACTCGCACATGACCTCATTAATATAACATAAGAAATCTCTTTCCAAATATTGACATATTCACAGGTCCAGGGGTGAGGACTGCAACATAACTTTTTGATGGACATAATTCAGTTCAGAACATGTATCTCATTAGCAAGAGTTCAGTATTTGTTTAAAATATAATTATTTTGAAAACAAAATTATCAGGCTTCTCTTTCCCTTGTTCTTTCCCCCCAATCTATTGCCTGTCTGTCTTGCTCCAATTGTAGTCTGAGACTGTAGTCAATCCCACTCAGTTCTGATTCTGCATATGTTAAAAGAGGCAATTGTAATGTCCTAAATAACATGCTCTATCCTACTGGCAATGTGGGAAGTAGGCAATGTTCAGTGTTTCTGTATTCATAATAGTTCATAGGATTACAATTTTAGGGCTGTTTGAAGATACCAGAATGACAGATAGTCCTAGGTATCTAATATGTATTTTCTTTGTTTGTCCTTCTTGTGATCAGTGTACTCTATTTTTATAATAAATTTCCCTTCTTTCAAGGTATTTATTTTCTCAAGTCTAAATTTTTTTTTGTTTTTGTTTTTTTATAATAGATATATCTTGGTGTGGTGGTGTGGGATAAGCGCTTGACAATTAAGGTTGGTCTGAACTGCAAGGTCGGCAGTTCAAACTCACCAACTGCTTCTCAGAAACCCTATACAGGGTCACTATGAGTTCGAACCAACTTGATGGCAATTAACAGCAATAACAATTACATTTGTTGTACCAGTTTTTGTTTCTTTTTCACATTAACATGTATCTCACTTTTTCATATTGAAACTATGAAACCCCTAGGCAGCATTCCGTGACTCTTTCTAAATATATTAAATTCAAAGTTATTATTTTAAAAATTGTTATCATGTGCTTATTCTCCCAGATGGACTTTGCCAACAAATCTGTTTCCCCTTTATACTTTCATTTGGTGTTCAGGATGGCTGTTCTTATTTATGATAGTAAAAAATACATTTAGAGTCCCAGGCCTTACAACCACATGTTACATCAACCTAAGGGGGGTAAAAAAATAGTGCCTGAATCCCTGCACTTTCTTTAATTAAGAAAGTAATTAAAAGTTATGGACATGCCTCTGAAAATGACTTTCTCCTCATTACATAAATTTTGCCTGGAAGTGCTTGCAATAAAATTTAGAAATGGTCTGTAATTGTTATTTTATTTGTTCATTGATCAAATTGGTATGTAGATGGCTACCTAAAAAGCTGAGATTAACTTTAGATCTCTTGTATAGCATGAAATATGTTTTAGGACAATAGTCTTAACCTGTTTTACTGTTCCTACCCACTTCATAGTGTTTGTTTAACATGATCTTTACTGCTCTTAGATCCAGGTTAGAGGGATCTCTGCCTCAAAATCCCACTTAAAAGAATTCCATGGGGCCAAGGCAGGGGATCCTGAATTCAAACAGCCTTGAGCTTGTTTATGGGACATGTCCAGGCTTGTTCCTTGTCTATCCTCCTGGGGAATGCTGCAAGTGGAGCATTCCTAAGGTTGATCGATGCTAAGGAACAGCTGCATGTGTGTGTGCGCATGCGTGTGTGTGTGCGTGTGTGATCAGAGCTTGTTGCATGTTGGGGTATCCAGAAGCAGGTACTAGGCCCCTTGATGTGTGTGATGGAGACAGGGAAGAGAAGAAAAAGGGGAAAAAAAGGAACTGGACCCTACACAGGACTTGGGTGATGAGTGAGGTTCAGTTGCTCTGTCCCTGGGACTCCACATTCTAGCTTGGAACCCCAAAGTCTGAGAATCCAAATTGAAACCTGTCCTATTCAAAGTAAAAGGTTAGTACGTACTGTATCTAATAGTTTGATTTATAATGTTTTATGCTCTGGATAGTTGTGTTTCTGAAAAGGGAACAACTTTTGTTCTTTGTGGATGATGGAGAGAAAATAATTTATTGAAGATAGCTACTACTTTGATCATACTTTTAAGATCACTATGGAGTCCTGATATGGTGCTGTGGGTTAATGAGCTAGACTGCAAAGTCAGTATGAATTGCAAGGTCAGCAGTTCAATCTCACCAACTGTTCCTTGGAAACCCTATATAGGGTTACTATGAGTCAGAACCAATTTGACGGCACTTAACAACAACAACAGATTCTTAAAAGAAAAAAAAGGTACACTTTTAAACTTTGAAAACTTGTAGTATTTCATTACTAGAATGCTTAATCTATTAGCTAAATATTTGTTGCAATGATTTGGTTCCTGTTGTCCTGTGGTGCTGCAGGATCAGCACTGGACTGTGACCCACAAGGTCAGCAGTTCAAATCCACCAGTTTCTCCTTGGAAACTCTATACAGGGTTACTATGAGTCAGAACCAACTTAATGACACTTAACAACAACAACAACACATGTAAAGAGTCCTGGGGTGGCGCTGTAGGATAAGCACAGTGCTTAGCCATAGAAGGTAGACATTTTCTATCTTTAATACTATAAAAGAAATGGAGTCACTGTATAGTTTTTGAAAACTGACTCTTGGCAAAAGAAAGTAGTCAAAGTAAAATAGATTTGGAATAGTTTTTAAACCTCAATAGTCAATGTCAGGAGTCCTGGTGTTGTGCTGTAGGATAAGGTTGGTGGTTCAAACCCACCAACACACCTTGGAAACCCCATACAGGGTAATTATGAGTAAAAACCAACTTGACAGCACCGAACGACAGCAATAGTTTATGTCATGTCATACATGAAAGAAAACTACAATTTCTTGTTTGTTTGTTTGTTTTTCAGGTGAATATACTTTAAAAATCGACTTAGGTGATTTTGATAAAAATAGCCGTTATGCACAATATAACTATTTCAAAGTGGGAGATAAAAAGGTATTTAAAATAGTCAAATAAATAATGCCACATTAATGCTTAAAAAATACTATCTAATCCTGAAATCAGTGAATAGAAAATATATAATAGCACATATATTTATATTTGTGACTATAAAAATATGTAAAACAACATAATGCATATTTTATTATTTACTACATGAACATACTTTTCAAAATGGTAATTACTAATTTTAGAATTTGTCTATTTTCATTTAGAATTCCTATGAGTTGAATATTGGGGAATATTCTGGAACAGCTGGAGACTCCCTGGTAGGAAGCTTTAGCCCTGAATTTCAGTGGTGGGCCAGTCACCAGCGAATGAAATTCAGCACATGGGACAAAGATAATGACAACTATGAAGGGAACTGTGCAGAAGAGGATAAATCCGGCTGGTGGTTCAACAGGTTTGATGTTTTATGAACATAGTTATAATGGCAATGATGGTATCTCACTGATGGGCATTAATTATAATAGATGAGGTAATGTTGGTCTTATTTGTAATACTAGAATGATTAAGTAATCATCCTTATTTAAATTCTTCAGTGATGAAGTATTATTAAAGATCTGTTCATTATGTATATTATTAGCAAAGCTTGAAAGATATGGCATAGAAATAAAAATATTGGTCAAAAGATGATAGAATCACTATTTTTATAAAGAAATCTGCAAATGGAATCAAGGGTGAGTTAACAGAAACAGACCACCAACTGACACAAAGAGATAGCATTGAGATATACACTAAGTGTTATGAGGCATAATGTTTGGTAAAGCGGAGGGTTAGTGGAAACAAGAAAGACTCCCAACCAGATGGATTGGCATAGTAACGACAACTGTGAGTCTGGAGCAGGACCTGGCAGTGTTTCATTCTGTTGTGCATAAGGTCGCTATAAGTCAGAACCAACTGAACGGCACCTAACAACAACCAATTGCAGTCCCTGAGTGATGAAAATAGTTAACATGCTTAGCTGTTAACTGAAAGACTGTAGATTCGAGACCATCCAGAGCCACCTTGGATGAAAGACCTGATGATATATTTCCAAAAAAAAAAAAAAATTAGTCAGTGAAAACTGCAGAAAACAGTTCTATTCTCAAACACTTGGGGTTCCCATGAATTAGAATTCACTTGACAACTGGTTTCAGGTTTTAAGAACCAACTAGTACCTCATATTCTATTATCATACAAATTGGCCATTCCACTACTGTAATTTTTTCTATGTAGTACTACTTTTCAATGAGTCCTGATGTGGCACTATAGGATAAGCACTGGACTGCTAGCCAAAAGGTTGGCACTTCAAACCCACCAACTGCTTCTTGAAACTACACAGGGTTGCTATGAGCGAGAATTGACTCAACAACTGCTTTTCAATTCTTAGACTTTCATTAAACATTGAATCCAATCTTTTTCCTACATAGAAATTGCCTCTAAAATATTCCTGAAGCCTAATTCCATCCTCCTATGGAATATTCCAAAGCTACTATACTACCATATTTGATTGTACATGTTCTTTTTATTGACCTGAAATCTGCCTTTTTGCACCTTATCAGATTTTCTCTTTCTCCCCTGTAATGACAGAATGGATATAATTCTTTTTGACATAATTCCTCAGGTGGTGGTGGTGGTGATTATGTGCCACGGAGTCATTTCCTACTCATAGAGACCCTACATAGGGTTTCCGAGGCTACAAATCCTCACAGGAGGGAGCCAAAAGCCTCAACTTTCTCCCGCAGAACAGCTGGTAGCTGTCAACTGCTGACCTTGCAGTTCACAGTTACTGTGATGTGATTCTAAAGCTGTAGATGCAATGCAAATACCCCTAGTTGTGGTTAGTAAAGTATGTCAAGCTGAATCAAAGTAATTGTGGAAAACAGTATCTTCTCTGGATTTTACTTATTAAAAAAAGTTTGAGACAATCTAATTTGAGGTTACTTCTAAGGGGATTGCAGCATATGCAACAATGTGAGGAGGCAGAGAAACAAAGTCAGCTTTCTTTCTTGGCCAATCAAAGGTGATGGTAGCTGTATCCCTAGTGGTTTTCCCGTACTCTTCACAAAATCATCTTCTTTTTCTGTTTTTCTGCCATTCCCCCCCTTGTCCTAAGTTAGCATTATTTAAAACCTACCAGTGTTATGTAAAATCTACCTGTAATTCATGAAGTCCCTCTGCAAGCATCCTTTCGTGTTTATTTTGAACATAATTCCATATACAGAATAGCAATCATATTGTTAATATTATGCCATCTACTTGAAGTGACAACTCACATACATATATAGTGAACAAACAAATGATTTACTTTACTTCAAAGATATGGGTTCAGGGAAAACAGAAAGATAACTTAGTAGCAGAGACACCCAAGGGCCTGCATTATCCTTGGGGCCTAAGAATCTGTACTGTCAGAAAAATCAGAAAAGCTAGAGACAAAGTAAATTGTTTCAGAAGCTTGGTGCTCCTCTTACTATTCCTGTTTACTATTATAGTTTAAATCTACCATCTTCTTATTTTTTTTTCAGTCTCATAGCTTTTTAAATTTACATGCAATGTTGACTCTTCATAATTATTACCCACCTATAATATCTTCTTTTTCTAGATAGCAAATCAGTCACCCAATGTTGATATCCTTTCTGCTATTGGAGTCCTGGTGTGGTGCTGTGGGTTAAGCACTGGAGCCAAGGTTGGTTTGAACTGCAAATTTGGAGGTTCAAATCCACTAGCTGCTCCTTGGAAACCCATATAGGGTTGTTATGAGTTGAAACTGACTTGATGATCTTAAATAACAAAATACTGACATCTGAGTGCTCACAGCTACTTTTTCATCAAGGGAACTTCAACCATACCCCCATCTAGTTATGAGTTCAGGCTTTTCTGGGAATTGAAGGATGCTGAAAAATTAGTCTCAGGATAGCTAAAGCTCCTCTGCTGATCCCAGGATCAGTTTCCTAACGGGATCCAAATTACAAGGCACAGACAACTGTCCTTAGGAAGAAAAAGATATGCCTAAAAGTATACCCTCACCCCTAAAAGTATTCTAGAGGTTCAATTTAGAATATTTTTCTTTTAGATAATACTTTCCATAATGTTTTAAAACAGTACACTTCTGACAATTGCATATTTAGCATTCAAGGTTTTAATTAGTTACAGCCATTTAAAATAAGGATGGTAAGGAGTCCCTGGGGGTACAGTGTGTTAATCATTGAGCTGCTAACAGAAAGTAGTAGTTATAGTTATGTCGAGTCGGTTCCAACCCATAGCGACCCTGTATAAGGTTTCCAAGGAGCAGTTGGTGAACTTGAACTACCAAGATTGTGGTTCAAAGAGACTCTGCAGTCCAGTGCATTAGCCCACAGCATGGTTCAAAGTCACTCCATGGGAGAAAAATGAGGCTATTTACTCCCTCAAAGATTTACAGTCTCTGAAATCCTGTGAAGCAATTCTACTCTGTCCTATGGTGATACGATGAGTCAGAATTGACTGGATTGCAGTGGATGAGTCAGGATGGGCGTAGTGAGTCACTAAGCTATTAGGTGATTCAAGCCAACCAGTATTTGTGGGGAAATGACATGCTTTTCTGATTCAGTAATCTGTTGGCTTTCCATAGATTTTTAGAACTATCTAATCTTTTCATTGAAGATATCAATAAAGAAATATTGATTATGTCAATAAAGAAAAACATAGTAATAATTTTATAATAACATTACATTTTAAAAATCATTTTTATATGTAATATATACCTGGTATAGCACTGTAGGATAAGCATTGGACTAATAACTACAAGTTGGGTGGTCGAAACCCACCAGTAGCTCCTCAGAAATCATATGTTGTGTCACTATGAGTCAGAAACAACTCTTTAGCACTTAGCAACAAGGACAAAATCAATAGATTTCAATGGAGAAAGGGGGTATTTAAAAATAAATAAATAAATAACCTAACTAACCTATCCAGATTGTAGTGAAGGATATAAAACAAAACAATTCAGCAGTTAAGAGTCATGGTTGGCGACCAGGAAAATTGTAGATGGTGACTCAAGCTCTGCATTCTTACTCTTGATATTAAAATAATAGATTTTTTTTTCTAGTGATTTACATAGAGGAGAAAGGCTGTTTGAATTACCAAAGCCAAGTCTTTGCAGCATATGAGCACTGCTGTTGTGAAGTGCCATGGACTTAGTTCTGACTTATAAAGTCCTTATATAGGGTTTCTGAGGATTGGCTGGTAGATTTGGACTGTGTTTATCCTACAGCATTACACTAGAACTCCTGGATGAACATGGGGGCCCAAATTCTCCAGGCAAGCCACAATAGCACACCAATCTCCCACACCTTGGTTGGTGAACTCATTATCACTCTTCATAAATACAAACACTATTCTGAGTCAGAAAGGCATAAAGACATAAGGTCATGAGGTTGTATTTTTTGTTGGCTTGTGTTTCTTTATAGTTTTAAGACTATTAAGAGCAATACTTATTTTTCAATATACCACAAAGTTCCTGAGTTGTATCCTGAGATTTATTATAACACTGTTGTTGTTGTTAAGTGCCATCGAGTCATTTCTGACTCATAGCAACCCTATGTAGTTTCTGAGGAACAGCTGGTGAGTTTGAACCACCCACCTTGTGTTTCAAACCAACCAGTGGTCCACTGTATTATCTTGCAGCACCACACCAGGACATTATGACACTAAAATCCACCAATTTAAAAGACTCATCTGTTGTAGAAATCCCTTGGTTTTTGGAAACAAATATTCACTTATCTGCAAAATGGCCAAATTCACAGTTGAAATGTTTTACTTGCTAGCTAAAAAAGGGGTTTCTGAAGGATATTTTTGTAGTATGGTTATTTTGTGTGTGTTTTTTTCTTCCACTAGGTGTCACTCTGCAAACTTGAATGGTTTATATTACACTGGTTCCTATACTGCTGACTCAGACAATGGGGTCATCTGGTATACCTGGCATGGATGGTGGTATTCCTTGAAATCTGTAGTTATGAAAATTAGGCCAAATGATTTTATTCCAAATGTTATTTAATTGTCCTATTGAACTTTAGTTTATGCAATATTGTAAAATGTTTGAAAAGCATCAATTCTAAACATAAATGTGTATATATGATGGCGGTAATTTTATGTGTTTTGTTTTCATTTTTCTTTATTTGATAATATACTTTCACTGTAGCAAATAAGATATATTTACCAAGTAAATGTTGTTGCTATTGTTAGGTGCCATTGAGTCGGTACCAACTCATAGCGAACCTATGCACAACAGAATGAAACACTGCCCGATCCTGGGCCAACCTCACTACTGTTGCCACGCTGGAGCCCATCGATGCTGCCACCTTGCCAATCCATCTCACTAGGGGTCTTCCTCTTTTTCTCTGACCCTCCACCCTACCAAACATAATATCCATCTCCAGCAACTGGTCCCTCCTGACAATATGTCCAAAGTATGAGAGATGAAGTTTGACCATCTTGGCCTCCAAGGAGCACTCTGGCTGCACTTCTTCCAAAATGGATCTATTGGTTCTTTTGGAAGCCCATGGCACTTTCAATATTTTCGTCCAACACCGTAACTCAAAGGCATCAATTCTTCTACTAAGTAAATGTAGATAATATTTATCCAATTTCTATGTGCAAAGGATAAGAACTTGTACTGGATAAAAAATTAAAAGTATACAATACATATCCCATGACTTGGGAGATAGCACAAATAGACACACATATGTTAAATATGCATGTAGTCAATAAAGACACAGGACAGAATCCAACAAGAAACAGATTGTCAAATCAATTGCATAGATAATAAACGTTGCAGGTTTTGCTGGATTTGAACTCATGCATATGACTGCATAGCTGAACTCTTAAGCACAGCCTAGGATCTCCATCACTATAAAACACTACCACATAGTTTAGGTTTGTTTTTTTTTTCTAAGTGTGGAGGTGATGTCTGACCTCCTTTGACTTCATAAGGGGAATGGAGAATAAAACTCAACCTCAACTCAAGCCCAGTTTCTATGAGGTGGAGATCAGACATGCCTTCCCCCTTCAGTTTTTAATTTTAAATCAGTTTTGATACAACTGTCCCTCCTACAGCATTCTCTACTTCTCTGCTAGGTTTGATAATTTATTGCAATCATCACACAGAACTCACAGACAATCCTCATGATTATGGGATTTATTAGGGAGCTCAACAGGGTACAATTTAAAATCAGAAATGCTCCATATATAGTTCTTCGGGTAAGTCAGGCCTCTCTCTGGTCCTTGGTCTCTCAGCCATGTGGGCCGTTAGCCTCTGCCCTGCTTAGGCAATGCCTCAACTTTAAGCACTATGGATAAATGTCCAAAGCACACTCCACTCCACCATAAGCCTTCACCTAAAAGAGCTCAGCTGTAGCTCCCCTGATTCTCTGGAGGCATTCCACTCCACAAGCCAACCTCCTGCCTGAAGCCACTCAACTTTCTTGCTCCGTGGACTGGGAAGCTCACCGCTCTACCTTATGCTCTTGGTGTTCCTGCTTCTACTACATTACTTCTCTGGTGTCACAGCTCTCTGTCTCTTGGTTCAATATGCAGGGATCTTGGGGTCCAAAGGACACACTCAACTCTTGGCTTTTCTTTCTTGATGGTAGTCAAATCCTCCATTCCTGCTTTGGAGATGGCTCATTTCATATTCAGCAAGATAGCAAAAACTGAACAATCCCCACATTAGAGTACCAAGTTTTTATAATCACAATTAACTTCGATAACAACCACTCACAACTGAATCATATAATACTATCAACATGTCTCTTCTCCCCCCCGCCCCACCACTTCTTTTATCCAGACCCATCAGGAAGAGGAAATACATCCACTCTGCATGGTCCCACCTGGTCATTTGGTGGAAGCCTCTGACTAGAAGAGCCGTGTCAAGTAAATCACGGTGCCACAAATGTTTATGCATGCTATACCCATCTTTTAAAACTTCATTTTTCTCCTTCTGTCAGTTCTGTGAGGCATTATTATTACTATTTCTCAAAATTGTGGATCTGAGGTTCTGTGAGTTGCCCAAAGTTAAAAAGCTAACAAGTAGGAAACAAGGATTCAAATCCAAGATTTTTAATGCTAAATAAGATATTTTGCCAATACCCTACAGCTTATTTTGGATAAGACTGGCGCAGGTGGAAAGTAGGGAGAGAATCTTCCAGGTAAAAGTAAAAACATGAGTACATAGAC